CGCAGAACTCGTCAAAACCGGGTAAGAAACTCGGGTGGGCGGGTGGACCCTTCGGCGTTCCCGGAAGTTACTTACTTCCGGGTTCGCCGACCAACCGGTTCGCGGGGACCGCCGCAAACCGCCTGAAACCCACCCCTGAGTTGCAGCATCTGCATCTTTCAGATGGGAATTCTCTCCTGGTGTGATACCCCAAATACTTTACCTACATGTCCATGTGTAGTAAATCATCTCGAGATGAATCCAATGCAAGGGAAGCTTTATTCTAACCACTGGAGTGGCGCAGTGGTTAGAATGCAGCATTTCAGGCAAATTCTGCATTCCACCGCCAGGATTTCGATCCTGGCTGGGTCAAGGTTGACTCAGCTTTCCATCCTTCCGAGGTTGATAAAATGGTGACTCAGATTGTTGGGAGCAATAAGCTGACATTTGTAAAACTGTTGTGGTGGCACAGTAGTTAGAATGCAATACTGCAGGCTACGTCTGCTGACTGCCGGCTGCCAGCAGTTCGATCCTGATTGCCTCAAGGTTGAACTCGGCCTTCCATCTTTTTGAGGTCGGTCAAAGGATAACCCAGATTGTTGGGGACAATAGGCTGAATTTGTAAACCGCTTAGAGCGGGCTGTAAAGCTCTGTGAAGGGGTATATAAGTCTTAAGTGCTACTGCTTAGAATGGCTGTAAAAGCACTATGAAGCAACATATAAGTTTAAGTGCTATTGCTATTTATCATTTTTAATGCCTTGAAGGCAGGAGTTGAAATCCTGACTCGCACAAAAATGGTCAGTTATGTGGGTAACCCACTTTATGACTGTTGCAACTTACAACCATAATGGATGGGCTTCATTACAGTCATAAGCTGAGGACTGCCTTAATTGGGACAAAATCTGATTTATTTCAGTTTATACAGAAATCAAACTGAATACCAAGCTCGTGTGCCATCTGCTCTTCCCATCTCCCCGATTCCATTAAAGTTTTTAGAATTCCTGTCAATCTTAAACCACGGTTTAAATAAGGAGAATATCTTTAGATGATATCTCAACAATCCGTATATTTTACCAACAAGAAGGTATATTATTATTAATCGCTCAGGATTTTGGATCGAAACACAGTTATTAATCACTTGTGACTTGATACACACAACTATATAACAGGACTACACGGTTCACCCACAAAACCGCGCTCGACTAAACCGCGTCCGACTAAACTGCGTCACTGACGTCATCAACAGGGCGACAACAGGGCGGAGACAGAAGCATGCTGTAAACCCTAAACCTAAACCTAAACCTAAACCTAAACCTAAACCTAAACCTAAACCTAAACCTAAA